AAGTTAAAACCAGGTTCACCGTTCCTCACAAAAACGACACACTCCACGCTTCTCTCTGCCTTGTGGTTGACTACGGCGTTGATTACTTCCCAGTAGAAAGGATTYGCCCCCGCTCTACCCCGGTCTTCTCTGAGCAAATACTATGGCCCTTGCTACCCTGAGCAACGAACGTTCTAAATGTATCTGCACTCGCTGTGCTCCCGATACATTTAAAGTTTAAACTACCAGCCCCGGTGGACCTATTTTGTCGAACTGAAAAAAAAAAGCCTGCCCTTGCCTGCCCAGTCCGAAATGTCACTCCTACAGGATTTACCGCGGCACTGAAAAAAAAAACTTCTATTGAAATATGTATGTCATGGGTTTGGTGCTTTGGCACAAATGTGTTTTTCGTTGTAGGCGCCGTACTAGGCGGAATATATTTTTTTAATTTTTTAACTTTTTTTCTCTGATGTGGTGAAACCTAATCTGCGTCCCGCCCTCCCTCCCTCCTTCCTTCCTTCTCTACTTTTTTTTTTTTCCGCCTTCTCTTTTTAATGATTTCAACTTCTCTGCTTCTTTGCTTGGAGGACATTGTGTTTGTCGATCCGGTCGATGGAACCAGAATCAAAACTTCGAAAGGCCTCTGCCTCTGTTGTAAAGTCTACTTTTTTTTTGTTTTGTTTTTTTCCCTCCCTCTGAAGCTTACGTGTCTTGTGAAGCCTGTTGCTTTTTAAATGTTTCTGGAAATTAGTTTTCTCAAATTTCTCAAACTTTTTTATTTCCATTTCAGTTGAACTGTCATCTGATTGACATTCTGCTCTCGACTGATTCGGTTCGTTGGTTGATGCGTTGTCGCATTTGTGGCGCTTTTTGTGTGTGAATGTGTTTGGTGGGGGGGAGGGGAGGGGAGGGGGGGGGGAGGGGGGGGGGGGGGGAGGGGAGGGGAGGTTGAGGGGAGAGGAGAGAGAAGGAGGGGGAGGAAGCTGTTCGATTGGGCTTTCCAACTGGGGTACATATTGTTGCTCGGAGGAAATTGAAACGTGGATTGAAATTTGAATCGAATAGAAAGTGAGATGGGGCGAGCCGAGTCTTGTAGATGCGGAGCGGCGGTTGCTGGCGACAGCTCTCGTGGATTTCCAGAACCAGCGGTTTGTGTTGTTGTCGGAGTCGTGCGTTCCAATCACCAATTTTACGTACGTGTACAAATACCTTATGGGTACGAACAAGAGTTTTACGGACTGCATAAATGATCAGAGCCCTTGGGGTAGGGGTCGATACCGATGGGAGATGATGCCGGAGATTCATATCGACCAGTGGCGGAAAGGTGCGCAGTGGTTCGGACTGAACCGGCAGCACGCGGTTGCGGTCATTTCCGACAGCAAGTATTATCCGAAGCTCAGAAAATACTGCGTGCCGCATTGTTACGTCGACGAGCATTACCTTCCAACCATGCTTTCAATAATAGACGCACGAGGGTTAGCGAACCGAACAACCACGTACACAGATTGGTCACGTGGCGGACAGCATCCGAGGACGTTCTCGGCACAAGATATCACTGCGGAATTCATTCGAAGCATCCAGAACGACGCCAGATGTACTTACAATGGTCAGCCTAATCAGCCCTGCTGGCTGTTTGCGAGAAAATTTGAACCCTCTGCACTGCATCCACTCATGAAAACTCTACAATTTTAGCAGAGCCCCTTTCCCACATTTCCATCGTCATCATCGTCTCGTCGTTGTCGTCACAGTCTCGTCATATCGTCTCATCATCCTCGTTATTGTCATCATCTCTCATCATCGTCATTTTATCATGTCGTCATCGTTGTCACTGCCCTGTCGTCGTCTCACCGTCTCGACTTCATCGTTGTCACTGTCTGTGTCGTCATCTTCATCATCATCGTCTCACCTTCTCGTCATCATCGTCATCATCGTCGTCACCGTCTCATCATCTTCATCATCGTCTCACCATCTTCATCGTCATCACTGTCTCATCATCCTCATTATTGCCGCATCATCATCTCATCATGTCATCATCGTCGTCATCGTCGTCATCATCGTTATCATCATTATCATCATCATCATCGTCCTCGTCATCATCCTTCTGCTGAATTCTGCCGGAGGTGAAACACTGCCATTTTCTTTTTCTGCCTCACTGCTCCTTCCTGTTCTTTTTGACTCTTTTGAGATCTGTCGGTCTGTTTGCGTGGCCGTACATTCATTCATTCGTTGGTCGGTTGGTTGGTTGGTTGCTTGCTTGGTTAGTAGGCTGGTTGGTTGGTTCGCTTGATTGCTCATTAATTCCTTTGTTTGTTAATCAGTCTTTCATCAATTCACTCATTGTCCTCCTCCTCCTCCTCCTCCTCCTCCTCCTCCGCCTCCTCCTCTGCAGCCGCTGCAACCCTGGCTGGCTGCTGCTGCTGGTCAGTTGATTTGTCGAACTGTTCCTAATTGGATTTTCCTAATTCAGAAGTTATGTTGCTGGTGTTTTATCAGCGCTCTATTTGAAAAGTAGAGTACATTGTGATTCTTTTTCCAAGGAGACGCAGGAGGAGGAAGTGCAAGAGGAAGACCACATGCATTTTGCATCTTGTGCTGGTTTCGTTTCAATTCGTTCTAATGTTGCAGAAAGAGGCGAAGAGGAAGAAGACCACATGCATTGCATCTTGTGCTGGTTCTGTGGATCAAGAACGAACGGAGAGATGGTTGGTGAGAGTTGATAAGAGTTGCGTCTATATAGACTTGGCTCTGACCACATGCATTGCATCTTGTGTCTGGCCATCTCTGGCTATATAGACTTGACACAAACTGTCAGCACTGGCTACACATGGCCATCTCTAGCTATATATAGACTTGACACTCGCCCTATAAGTGGCCATATATCTGATTCTGTAGACTGGGGGTCTAACCCCATACACAGCCATCACTGGCTATATACACTTGAAGAAGCTGACCACATAGACGGCCATTGCTGACTATCTATACTGGCGCTAACGCCGTGCATGACCATCTCTGGCTATGTATAGATTTGACACTCACCCTATAAGTGGCCATATCTGATTATGTAGACTGGGGGCCTAACCCCATACACAACAATCACTGGCTATATAGACTTGGCACTAACCCCATACCCAGCCATGAGCCATGACTGGCTATATAGACTTGACACTCACCCCATCGACTGCCATCTCTGACTATCTAAAAGGTTTCTAACCCCATGCATGGCTATCTCTGGCTATATATATAGGCTTGACTATGTCAAAGGTTTCTAACCCCGTGCATGGCTCTCTCTGGCTATATATATAGGCTTGACAATCACCCTATAGACGGCCATCTGTGACTATCTAGGCTTGACACTTAACACCATGCATGGCTCTCTCTGGCTATGGAGCCCTTACACTTACCCCACACTTGGCCATTCCTCTGGGTTTGTGAGATTGACACTGACGCTGACACCCCCTGTGTGGCCATCTGGGTCCTCACCCCCTTCATGGCCGTGTGGCCATGTCGAGTGGGCATTCACACCCCATACCTTGGCGACCGCTCATCGCACGCAGTCGCCTCAAAATTTAATGACTCCATCTTGAGAAGTTGTGACATTGAATGAATTTGTAACGGGGGAAAGAAGGGGGAAAGAGAG